TTGTGGCTGCATAGTGGTATAGAGAGATGATGGATGGCTACCTTCTCCAGGACTGTGAGGACTGTTTGGCGTTTGGACCTCTCCTTGGCGAGGCACCTTGTCCCCATGTTGATGACTGGATGTAAGTACTTGAAACTGCCCTCTTTTTATCTCATTCACAGTGAGACTCAAACTAGAAGGTGGAAGGTTAGTACTCTTAAGTAGGATATACATGGTGTGAATTGCAGCCAGTTCTTGATGAATCTGCTGAAATTCACATAGTGGGTGCTGCTGTTGGCACCCTTTCACCAGACATTCCTTGATCAGCTGATTGAAGAAGCAGGTTGGAAGATTCTCAGCCGAACAGAGCTTGCAGCCAACCAGCTGCAAACTCCATTTGGGCAATCTGACAGTGGCCAGTGGCTGCTATTAGAAAACAATGCAAAACAGCAGGGGATACCTCCATCCTCCCTCATAAGCATTGTTTGAGGGATCTGTTATATTTTCTTCGTTCAGCCCGCAGGATGACTGAAGAAAATATGACCGTGCATACACAACTTTAGTCATTCCGGCTCTACTGCAGGCACATGTGCTAACAAGAAGCATGTTGATGAAAGGAGAGAGCAGAGAGATGACCTGATCAGTCTACTACAGTCTCCGTCTGCTCCAGTTTTAGTAAATTCCCCCCATTAAATGCATTTGCCTGATTGTTAATGTGTTATTTACATTGCACATTCTGCACGTGACCTACTATTATAGCTGAATAAAAACACACATATTATTACATTTGTTATTGGGGGGGAGGGGGGAGGATATTTATCAAACCTGGAGCAGACAGAATCTAGAGGAATTGCCTATAGTAACCAATCAGCTTCCCGCTTCAGTTTGTTCAGTTAAGCCTTGAAAACGAAGAGAGAAGCTGATGCACAACTGCTCCAGATTCTGCCTGCTCCAGTTTTGATAAATCCCCCTCTCTATGTCCTCTGCAGAATGACATAACAGGGATGAGAAACCTAAATAGACAGAGTGAGAAACTGCCTACAGAGTTTCCTTTCAGCTGATAATCAACAGTCCCTCTGCTGTATTATTCAGCTCAACATGTCACTCAATGACAGTCATAAAGTGATAGCTAAGGAAACAATATATTTTCAGTCTGAAGTTTTTAGACGCAGCGAGGAACCAAATCCATTTCCTATTTATGAAGCATACAGACAACAATGAAAGAAATGTTTCCTATGGAATTGCATTTGGTTCTGGCTGTGTGCCACTGTTTACTGAGGTCAACTAAACTTACATTTAATTTCTCACATGCCCTAAGATCCTTCATATTAACTGTATTGTAGTTACACAGTGCTGTTTCAACTATATCACTATTGAATGTAAGCAATGACAGGACAAGAACCAACCAAAACATGCAATAAAGTACTCACCCAAATGCTCCGATGTCTAACCCGATACCTGAGCTTCCGGTATCAGGAAGCCGGGCAACAGGTCATTATACGCTGCATGGCTTCCTGATTGGACGGGAAGCCGGCTCCATGCTCCCTCGTCACTTGGTGGAGCCGGCTTCCCGGCCAATCAGGAAGCCTGGTGCCGTGTAATGACTCATTGCCCAGCTTCCTGATTGGCCGGCTCCATGCTTATCGGGAAGTGTGTGACGAGTCTTTCATTGCCACCCTGCTTCCCTGCTAATCAGGAGGCCAGGTGGTGAGTCATTACACGCTGCCTGGCTTCCTTAATGGGACTTCCTGTATTGGTATTAGTATCAGCGAGTACTCGATCCCGAAAAACCGGTATCGGTTCATCCCTACTTATAACCACTGTCAGCTCTTTTTGCCATATGTATCCCCTTGGGGAAATTACCCTTCACTTCCTGTCCCATAGACACAACAGGAAATGAGAGGAAATCCCTGCAAAACAAGGGAAATTCCTGGTGGTCAGTAAGCCATTGGAAGATTTCCCATCTATTTCTGTTCTGATGACAACTCAAAATTTGTGACTTCCTTTTACTTTCAGTGATATCGATCAACAGGACAAACAGGGAGGGTGAATATATCTAATGGGAACACAGATGGCGATAAAACCTGACAGGTGTTCTAATCCCTTTCCACTCTATCCAAAACTAAAAACAAACACTTGTTTTTTTTAGGCTGAACTCCAGGATCCTATTCTTTTGCATTTGCAGATCCCTCTCCCCAGGCTCTCTTAAACGACTTACTTTTCGAGCAATCCAAGATTTTCAGTCCCAGTGATGTCATGATATCCCTCATTAAAATGTACTGCTTCCAGGCACCAGGAGAAGGTCTTTCCATCTTGCTGCATGTTGCATCTATGTGGGATAACAGCGCTATATTTACCATTATGCAAAAGGAAATGCGGGAAGTGGCAGACATATGTGTGTGGGTGGAGATGAGGGCTGTATCTCAATCACATGTACAGTTGGCGGTCCAGACCAGGGGTCTGAGACTCATGAGTCCGCCCACTACAGCAAGCAGGGGGGAGTTACATCACTGCTTGTTGAAGCAGAACTACAACTTGGAAGATACCAGACCAATGGCTGTGGGGCATAGAGGGCACAGTGGTCAACGGTCTAATAAACCAGATGTCAATGAGAGGCCTGCAAATAAGGAAGTACTATGGGAGGAGTAATCAAAACTGGAGCAGACAGAATGTGGAGCAGTTGCCCATGGCAACCAATCAGCTTCTGTCTTTTATTTTCAAACCATAACTGAACAAATTGAAGAGAGAATCTGATTGCTGCTCCAGATTCTGTCTGCTCAAGTTTTAAAAAATTACCCCCTATGGGTTTCCCAGTGACAGTTGAGCTATGCATTGAAGTGAAAACACATTTGCAGCAGCTTTATACACATGCCAAAAAAAATTCTGCCCGGAGTTTAGATTTAGATATTTAGATATCAGTTTCCAGCAGCTGTGCAGAGGTAAGTAGTCGTCATCCGGTGGAAATATAGGAACATACTTTGTTGGTTATTCAGAAACCTGTTTTGCTATGAAATGTTCCACACATTATTCGCTTATTGCGAAGAACTCGTATCATACATAAAGACTTTATGCCCTGTGTTGTTTTCTTGTGGTTGGAAAGGCCGGTTAGCTCGTGGGCAGAGCTTACCATTAGGATTTGGTATTGTTTAGCCCAGGCAACTCTAAAGTATATCTACAGCAATAATTTCATTTAAATATTGGATACAGAAGTATTCTGTCACATTGAAAGCGCCAATTTCAGATTCGCTCATCCCTATCACATCCCAAGGTGATGATGGAAACCCCTAAGTGTACAATAGCTGCCAGCCCAATATTCCGATTCTCTTTATCTACGCCGCGGCCATACTAGATAAGGAAACCTCGATCACAGCGTCATTCACTCACTTTTCCCAAGAAGGTAGTCACTGCTGTCTGATTCCCAGTTAGGAACTTACATGCTCTCTGTTTGTCCGGATGACCACTTTCCCTGAGACTGAAAGTAAGGGAGATACCAATTTTGAGCTGCCCCTAGAACAGGAATAGAGGGGAGATCATCTGATGGGGGCACCTGTACTGGTGACAACTGTCTACTAAGGCATTTTCATCATTTTGGAGAGATTTCCTCTCACTTCCTTGACAGAAAATGAAGAGCAATTACCTCAAATGAACAGAGATGGAAAACAAAATCCAATAGGTTGTCAACATTCCCTGCTTTATCCTAGATGGAAAAAAAAAGTATTGACTAGCTATGCTTAAATTATCAAAGCAGTGTTGTCAGTGGCAGTGAGTGTGGGCGAGCCTCACAGTGTCAAATCCATGAAACATGAACCCTGTGCTGCTCTGAATGAAGGAGTATGTCAGAGTTTTGTTTATTCACAATGTCACCAATGAGCTTTATTTTAGGGCAACTTCTGGCACGTTATGGCATTGTCGTTACACATTTGTTAAATGTCAGTGTGTCTCCAACCCAGCAGTCTCTCTAACAGAACATAAAACAGTGCTCCTTTAAGAGGTCAGTCTTTAGAACAGGACAGTGTGTGCTGCATATCAATATCTCTAATATGGTACCTCTAATATGGCAGTGTCACTGCTAGCATACACCACAGTCTGTGTATTATACACCCAATCTTTTTACCCACACCAATCTATACCATGTCTATTCAGCCATGCTCACCTGTAGCAGGACATGCTCTGCAACCCTCTAACCCAGGGGTAGCAAACCTCCGGCCCTCCAGCTGTGGTGAAACTACAAATCCCATGATGCATCTCTCTTTGGGAGTTATGTCTGTGGCTGTGAGAATCTTGCAATGCCTCATGGGATTTGTAGTTCCACAACAGCTGGAGGGCCAGTGGATTGCTACCCCAGCTCTAACCAGATAAGTGAAATGAGAGTCAAGTGAAATTATATCATTTTTTTGTTTAATATATTTTATTAAACAATCGTTCAGTTCTCAATAGCTATTATAAAAGTGCACTTCAGACAAAGAAGATAATTTAAACAATGTTTTAAGACATGGGTTTGATTTACTAAAGGCAAATAGGCTGTTCACGTTTCAAGGGAATTTAACCTTAGCTTAGTAATTGTAGCAAAAAAATCTCAATCATGTGCAAAGAAAATAAAAACATTGTATTTTTGCTTGTATATGATTGGATGATGGAAGTCTGCAGAGCTTCACCTCATTCACTAAGCTAAGGGGAAACTTCCCCTGCAACGTCCAAATTCCCTTGCAAAGTGAACAGCCTATTTGTCCTTAGTAAATCACCACGAGTATCTCTAAAAGCAGAAACAGAGAATTAACACATTGAAAAACAAAGCTAGCTAGCTTTCATTTGTGTCCTGAACTATGATACATGTGATATCATTGGTGTTGGTTCAACAGCTTCCTCCATTATGCATATTTATTACATTGAGGAGACAATAACTGGGAAAACACTACACCTAAATTCCAGGTAGCTGTAGCCAGTGGTGTTGCACAGTAGAGCTATGTAGATTTTGTTATGCAGTTTACATGATGTTTAGCACAGACAATAGTGACTCAGATCAGTGACATCAGAATTGTTGGTAAGAGTTTATTATGATGTTCGATGTTTTCTCACAATACTTGCATCTGGTTTATTTGTTATCACACAGTAGAGCAACGCCTCTCATTGTCCAATGATCGGGAACAAACACTGTTCTCAGATACAATGAGAATATATAAGTGAGATCTGTCCTTCGTGGCTTCTTATAAACTGGGCAGGTGTAGAGGTTGGTTAGCTGCTTCTTCGGATCCACCGTTCCACTAGTGCTCACGGCATAGACATGAACTACGGGAAGATTGGTAAACAGCACCTGAAAGTAAAACGGACATATCACCAGTGTTAATCCAGCTAAACTGTATTCTTCATTATTATTTCATCTTCACTATTTCAAACTGGACTTTGAGCACATATAAGAAGCACCCCGTAATATAGTGTTACGTGTTCGTTATTCAGTTATCAACTGTGTGCTTGTATATTAGATTCTTTTAAACCCCTGTGAAGTAACACACAGAGGAGGCGACCAACACTGTAAGCAATTCAGACTGTATTACACTTTACAGTGCTGTCAGTCTAATACTGTTAACCTGCTTACAGGAGGGGAAAGAGCAGAGATGACCCTTTCATTATTCGGCTATTTTCAATCAGCAGGCTGGGGGCAGGAAGATAGCACCACTGTATTTCTTTACTGCAACTGAAAAACCATTATTCAGAGTGGCAGGTGTGTGTAAATTGCAAAAGTGGTCCAACAGAATCACAAATATTGTGGCAGGTAAAATAGTTGACATACATGCATTTTATATATGCCATCAGCCTTCAGTACCAGAAATGAGTTACTAAGTAGCAAACAATTTACTTTTTACCACCACCAGGAAATGTACAGTTCACGTGGTGTTATCCCTCACTTCAGGCCTGTTCACAACTACAAGCCCGCTTTGCATTTGTCTTTCTTTATTTCTTTACATACAAAGACTAATTTATTAAGGGAGTAAAAAACATTCACACAATAAATTGTGTAAAGATTCACTGAGATTATCCAAAAATGAGAAAAGCAAATACCTGTTTACTTATTTAATCTGCACTAGTAACTGAGGTGAATATTCACCAATTTGTTGTATGAACAACTCCTTTAGTAAATCAGCCTGAAAGCCCACACTCCCCATTCCACAGTGTGCCTTGCATTACTAATTCTACCCTCTCCTGTGGTACCAAATTGTCAGTCTTACATGATGCTGATTTCACTGGGTTCAAATGTATAAAATGTACACAGTTAGAAAACTTAAGTGAATAAATTATCAAAACTTTGCATGGAGAAACGGTCTGTGCAACCTTGGAATGCAGTTAATTACATTATAATTGGCCTTATATATCAAAACATCTCTACACTTTAGATGTCTTTGTAACTTGGCAATATGGACGTAGTCTGATAAAAGACGTGGGGACTGTGCTACTGTGCAGTAATGAGATCTTTGAATGAGACTACAAATCAATAAATTAATCAACTCCATCTTTACAAGGATCTGTTCCCAAAGACTAAAATTCAGAAAGTACGGTCCGCTCTTACAGAGATTACATAGTGGAAAAGGCGATGACAGAACAGATGGAGACTTGAGGCTTATTTATACAGCAGTCAATGTGACATTTACCAAACATTCAGAGCAGGGGAATCTTCCTTGTGAATGTGTTTTACCATGCAGAGTCACCATGAGTGGATGTTTGGTGAATGTCACGTTCATTGTATTATAAATATCCCTGTTAGACTTCAAACAGCGAATCAGGATCCAAGGAATTTACTCTTGAGAAAAATGTATATTGTTCCAGCAACAAAGTTTGCCATATATTTTCAGGTATGTAAGAATGACAAAGGAGCCCTTACGCATTCCAGGCCCAAGAGAGCTAACAATCTAATGTGCCTTCAGTCACAAAAGCATGTACTAATCGAACCTTTGACCATGCTATGAACATTCTATATTCATTAAAAAAATCTAGCTGTGGCTGGCCAGATTAAGTATTTGCCCACTTTGTAATCACCAAACACCACTAGGTGACACAAGATAACAGATGATTTCCTTCCTCTTCCGAATGTTATTGTGGCCTAGACAACTGTTATTTTTGACAACTGTTTTAATTTTTGTTGCCTTGCAATTCTTCTTTCTGAGGCTCCCTGCACATGGCATTTGAAGCCACGGCTGGAGATTCTTGCCTCAGGAATCTCAGGTGAGTCCATACAGATGCGGCCGTTGTGCCCATTCAAGTTAATAATGGTGACAGCAGCCGCATCTGTCTGTGGCTGTCCACAAGGACCATGGAAAAATTACCTGGGGTTTGGGATAGATGCTTGTCCTTGGATGCAAAGAGATTACGCCCAGGGACAAGTATTTCTCCAGATCTGCAAGTAATTGTACCATGTACTATTTCTGCCAGGAAGCCTTGGACAAATGCGGCTGCTGTCACCCTGTCATTAACTGGAATGGGCACAACGGCCATATCTGTATGGACCCAACTAGGATTCCTGCCGCAAAAATCTGCAGGTTCTAACCACAGGAATCCCCAGCCATGGTTTTGAATGCCATGTGCTTGAGGGCTAAATGTGTGACCTTACATTAAAAGATTATTATGGCAAAAAGCAGTCACATTAGTCAATATGCTATTAGGATTACGCAGTATGTATATCAAATGAGAACAATGTGTTATTTAAAAGAAAACAAGAAAAAAAAAAGGCTGTACAGAATCTGGTGTGCTTCATCTTTGATCACGTCAACATGTACTGAAAACAAAAAGCTGCACGCCGGGTGGGTAATTCTCAGAACCAACAGGTGTCACAGCTCTGGGCCTGTAGAAGCAGAGATTGCCACTAAATGAAGTCTCAGCCCAGCTCTTGTCTAGGCATGTTATATCAAACAGAATGTGACAGTCACAAATGAATAAGAAACGAAAAATGACAGAATGTAATCAATGAGACTGCTAGTCCATAATCCTTTGCAAACAAAATCTTTTTTCTTTGCCAGGTTTAGTGATAAGAGCTACATTTTCCAAACTGTACAGAACATATCGTGGAAGGAACCCAGCATTGTATTTTATTGGCAGCACTGTCAGCTGAATCACAGTCATCACATGAATCTTATTTTATGGTTTAAGCCAGAGAAATATGACCAGAGGTAGTAAATATTGTGCACTGGAATAACCTTTAAAGTGTATCTAAACCCAAGAACAAAAGTTAAATACATTGCAGCTTACTGGTCCTCAGATGTGGTGGCTGGATTAGTTTTTTTTACTTTACTTTCATCTGGTAGCCTTCTCAGTAACACACTTCCTGTCCCAGGGTGTCATTCTAGGACAAAGGGGTGTTAGGACTAAAGTACAACCTCCCCCGCTCCTAACCTCTATAACATTATTTTGTGTCCTGTAGTCCACAAAATAGAACTATGCTGGGCTGATAACACTGCTTGAGATTTCAGTACAGAGTGTGCACAAAATGTCACAGGATTTCTGGCAGGATTTTTTCAAACACATATCAAAATGTTTTTAATGGTATAACAGACCAAAGGGAGTAAATAAAAGACGTTCATTGTTCAGGTTTACAGACACTTTGGGGTCCACTTATAAACAAAATCAGGGCCATTCACCAGCAAATCTCTGAACATTCGCTTTGTGGGAAGAGATGCAAAAACGGACATTCTTAGGGGTCTATTCACTAAGCTGCCGTAGGCAGCCAAGTGAATGACCGACCTGAAGCGAAGTGAGCCGAACGCTGTCCTGAACGCCGCCCAGGAGAGAAACACTTTTTTTTTTCTGACATGGAGCCGTTGGCTGTCGTCACAATAACAATAAAAAATAAAATAAAACATTTTCGCCATAGGAATGCATTGCGAGATTCCTATTGGATATTTCAATTTGCAATAGCCAATAGCAAACCAGCTATTGCACCCGCACTCTGCTGCTGTCAATCACCAGTGGGGACCTGATGGAGAACTGCAGCAGTGGGCAGGTGCAATATCTAGTTTGCTATTGGCTATTGCAAATTGAAATAGCCAATAGGAATCTAGCAATGCATTCCTATGGTGAAAATGTTTTATTTTTTTTTAAATTCTGACGACAGCCAACGGCTCCATGTCAGAATAAAAATAAAATAAAAAAATCAGTGTTTCTCTGCTGGGCGGCCTGGAGCGGGAGCGCCCGGGAGACTTAGGCTATCTGGAGATCAGTGTCCCTGGTTAGCTGGTAACCAGGGACGCTGATCTCTCTGCAAGTGGCCGGAGCCAGCCGTAAGATCACGGCTGGCTCCCCCAAGCTGTCAGAAGCAGGCTGTCGGCCAGCCGGCCGCTCGGCCAGCTTCGGCTTTCACCTCGGCTCAGTCAAGCCGAAGCATATGCCTTCGTCTCGACTGAACCGCCCGGCCAACTTCGGGAGCTGTACGGGCTATACTGAATAGCCCGTATAGCGGCCCTTCTGTTCTACTGAACCGAAGGGGTCCTGGGGGCCGAAGCTAGCCGAAGGATCAGCCCGAAGCTATGGCTAGATCCTTCGGCTGCTTCTTGAATAGACCCCTTAGTATATTTTCTTTACAAGCCAATGAAATAATGAAATACTGTGTTTTGGCCACCAGGTGGGTCTAAGGAGCATAGGAAATAACTACTTATTTACTGTGCCACTCAGCATTATTACATCATTAAATTCGAAATGACATTTAAATTGTAAAAACATTTTTTTTTACATCGATTTTTACGGAACAAAATGTTCACAGAGATTCCCAGGGCAAATGGCTCTGCAAATTGTATATAAATAGACTCCATTAAGTATAGGTAGTAGGTTATAAAACAGCATAATATCAGAAACTGTTAGAACACTGCCGGTAACATGATGTTGCTAGTGGTCAAGTGCAAGACTTTCTAGCAGTGGCAGCTTGATGCTTTTTTTAAGGTGTTTTAAAGGAGAACTATGAGATGAGTGATTTCCACTCACCTCATAGTTCTAAGCCGACCTGTGACAATGAGACTGTCACAGGTCGGCTCAGTAGATCGGGAGGTGAGGGAACACATACCGGGTTCCCTCACCTCTCGATCCTGTCACGGCTCTCTGCCGTGACAGGGGGAGGGGCTGGATTCCCCTCTCCCCGCTCCGATCTGCCAGCGCTGACTGGCGGAACGGACGGGGGAGGGGGCGGGTACAGCTGGCTCTGCCTCTAGATAGGCAGAGCCAGCTGTCACTCACGCAGCTGGGCGGATCTCGACATCGATGTCGGGATCCGCTCCGGCTGAGGCGTCTCAGTATATAGTGAGCTGTAGCTCGCGGTATACTGAGCTTAGGGTGACG